CAGGGGGGGGAGCGCCCTGCTCCTCGCTGCTGCCAGCCTGCGGGGCCGGGCCGGGGAGGGCCAGGAGGGGCCCCCCGGGGCTGGGTGGGCGCTGCTGGGGGGCGGCGGGCGGCAGCGGGGGGCTGCCAGGGGCGTCCTCCTCCCTTTTGGTGCTGTCGGCCTCAGCTGGCACCCGTGCCTGCAGCTTCTTCTTGCAGAGCTTGACGACGTCGTTCATGTGCAGGTAGCTGGCGGCCGCCAGCACGTCCTCCAGCGGCGTGGCGGCCAGCGCCAGCCGCCCCTCGTACATGAACTCCAGGAGCAGCCCGAAGGCGGGTGGCGTGACGATCTCGCTGTTCAGGCAAACCAAGTCGCCTTTGTCCAACCGCTCGGCGTAGCACATGTGGAAGAAGGCGCTGCAGGCGGCCAGGACGGCGCGGTGAGCCGGGAACGGGGCGCTGCCCACCAGCACGGTGCAGTCGCAGAGGAAACCCTGGGCCCGTTGCTCTCGCAGTCCCCGCAGCAGCTGCCGGCTGTGCTCGGGGAACTCCATGGCGTCCCGCGGGGGTGTGCCGGCCTGCGGGGGGACAAGGGGGGGCGGGGGGCGGTGGGGGGGGGGGGGGCTCAGCTGGGGCTGGCCTGCCGAGAGGGTCTGGCCCGGCCGGGAGGCGGCAGGGCTGGCCCGGCGGGGCCCGTTCAGCCCCCGGGGGGCTCTTTCATCCCCGGTGGGGCTCGTTCATCCCCGGCAGGGCCCGTTCAGGCCCGGTCATCCCCGGTGGGGCCCCTTGAGCCCCGGCAGGGCCCGTTCAGGCCCGGTCATCCCCGGCGGGGCCCAGTCAGGCCCGTCCCGGTTCCGCGCTCCTCGTCCCCACTCACCACAAAGCAGCGGCCCGGCGAAGCCCCGCCCCTCCGCGCTGATTGGCAATCCGACCGGCTGGCCGCCCGCGCTCCTATTGGTCCGGTAGCCTGCCGCTCAACGAGGCAGGGCCGACGGGGGATCAGCGGCGGCTGTTGATTGGTCGCGGCCTACCGCCACTCATGGCGGCGGGCCGCTGACTGGCGACTGTTGACGCGCTCCCGGGAAGAGGCGGGCCGCGGTTGCCGTGGCCGTGGTTGCCATGACCGCGGGGGCGGGGCGTTGCCGGGGAAGCCCTCAGCGGGCGGGCGGTCCCCGGGGCCGGGAGAGTGTTCTGATTGGACTCTCGGATGTGTCGCTCAGCTTTTCCGCGCTTTCATTGGTTTGCCGATCCCCCCCGCGCGGCGTGTCCCCGCCTCTTCCCTATCTCGCGCTCTGATTGGAGCCAGCTCCCATCCCTCACCCCTCGCGCGCGCCAATCGCGAGAGGGAGAGGGGCGGGGCTGCGGTCTCCCCGGCAACCAGGTGATACGGGGCGGGGCTGGAGCCAGGGCGCGCCGGCGGGCCCCTAAGCTCCGCCCCGCAGCGGGTGGGGGGAAGTGGGCGTGGCCGAAGGCGGGTTCGCGGGCGGGGCT